GAAATTTCTAAATTACTATTTTCCGTTTAGGCCTAAAACATTAAATTTCCAAATTACTACTTCCCGTCTAGGTCTAAACCGTTAAATTTCTAGATTACTATTTTCCTTTTAGGCCTAAAATATTAAATTTCTAAATTACTATTTCCCGTCTAAGCCTAAAACATTGAAATTTCTAAAATACTATTTTCCGTCTAAGCCTAAAACATTGAAATTTCTAAAATACTATTTTCCGTTTAGGCCTAAAACATTAAGTCTTTAAAAAAATCTTAATTTTGAAAACGTTACAAATCCCCGATATCACTGGCGAGAGTAAGATGGGAATGTCAAGAAAAGATTAAAACTTAGAAATAATGATGTGTATGGAAATGTGAATAAAATAGGTATAAAATTAAAATATATTTGGATTGCTCCCCCTATTCTCCATGAAAAGTATCTGTAATTGAGTGAAACCACATGCTGATGATTTGCACTGTGAATAACTGTCCCCCAACTAATCAAACAGTGCCATTCCAACATAATACCTATAAAAATACAAGCACTTAACACTAGTCCTATCAGTAGTATGGTGAACAACTAAAGAAAAACTTTTAACAAAATAATTAAATGTAGGGATGGCTAATATTAATCCTTCAAAAACAACGTAAACAAGATAGTAGGGATGGCATTTAAATCAACTGTCATAATAGCATAGGCACACAGTGTAGTAGAATGTTAAAAGACAAAAATATGATAAATTAAACTCAATTGTGGTTGAATAGTTATATATATATATATATTGCTATATGTTAATTCACGCCTGTCTATTATGTAGAGATGATACAAATACCATCCTTACTATCTTCTTTGCTTTGTTTTTGAAGGATTTATATCAGTCATCCCTACGTTTAGTTCCTTTTTTGAAAAGTTTTTATTTACTTGTTTTTTTAATGCTGTGTTTGAATAGAGATAGGGAGGTTGTATTTATAACCAAGTTTTAAATACAGTGTTTATCTATTACAAGCTGGTAATTCTTGTTTCACGCTGTATTTAAGCGTTTTAAAGGAACACCAAATTTCTGTAAGAAAGCTGACTTCTAGGAGCTAATGAAACATCGTTTACACTATAATTATGATTTTTAAAAACATTACCACTAGTTATTAATAATACTTATAAAAGCGGATACTCCGTTTGAAACTGTGCTAGTTTCACACACCCTCTCCAGAGTTTCCATACTGTTCCCACTTAAACATGAAATTTCACCCCAATCTGTTTGCGTGGATTAGTTTTCACCAGCCGAAACAATCATTTCTGCACGTTATCTTGTGGCATTTCTGTTTTGGGAGCCATCATCACATTCACCTGACTACTTATAGGTCTAGTGTACATGCGTGTACTTTTATCAGCCAGGTGGCAGCACTGCCTATGTTGGGATGGCCCGGAATGTTCGTCGAAATGGTGTTTTAAATATCTTCTCAATAGGTCATCAGAACTTTACAATACAATACAGTGTTTCGTTTTATAATAATATCTATGTAATGACTGAGTCACAAGTTCTGGGAATGTCTGGAAATATCATAGCAAAAAGTTTGAATTTCTTGTTCTTCTTTCTTCTGCTTCTTTTTTATTACATGATAACTTAAAAACCAAAATAATGGTGTCAAGCAGTTTCACTGAGGTGACATAGTTTGAAAATAGAAGCGAACGAAGTAGAAAGTGATGTTATTATATACCTCAGCGTATGCTCTTCACGTAATACTCGATAATCCACTAGAGATCTTGCCAATGTTGTAAGTACAAGTGTGAGTGTTACCTTCATAAAACTAAGACACACATTAGGACGAATTGGTCTCAACGGATTTGTCACTGATGAAAAACCACTGCTTAGAGAGATAACTAAACAAAGAAGCTGAACAATGGGATAAATAAAGCTGGAGAAGGGAGGTCTTTCAAAGTCAATCCAAATTCAAACGACGGGTTGTTAGATAGCAGAGATGAGCCCCCCTGAAAGGTTACAACTCTAAAAACCCGTAGTGGTCACAGCACAGATGACCCGTTGTGTATCTTTCTGTTTATCGAGAAATATACAAATAAGCAGAGAAGAATACAGTCTTACACTGCTAAATTAGGGACGGCTAGCGCAGATAGCCCTCGTGTAGCTTTGCGCGAAATTCAAAAAACAAACAAACAAACAATACTCGTAATGAAAATAACTTCTTACTTGGATATGTCGTCATAAAATAAAAACTTCTATAAACTGTCGACAACATTGGGAAGTCAAGTATGAAATAAAATATCTACGCAAAACTGTAATAAAGAAAGCTTTAACTTAGCAAACAGAGAAGAAATTATCTACGATAAATTTACGTATTAAAAGTAATGATGAGTAATTTGAGATTTACAGCTTTAAGAAAAACTAACGTATCGTAAGATTTAGGAGAAAATTGCAAAATCCATTCATCTCAAAGTAAGTACAGAAGTTATTGGATTTTCTTTTTGAAATTTTAGATTTGGTTCGGCAAATAATCATACACGTTGTTCGTAAAAAAAAGAAGAGAAAAGAAAAGCGTATATACATAAAAAATAAGTGTACTAGTTACGGTAAAAATAAAGAGTTAAAAGGAACGAAATTACATTTAATACATCATACACCATTACTTGAAATCAATCTACTACAGTTTATTACTTGTACAACGCTATCTGTGGTCTACCCAACGCTGGGATTGAGCCCCATAATTTTAGCGTTATAAGCCCTTAAGCTTACACCTGAGTCACTGGGGGGGGGGGGCACTTATATTGAGAAAATTTTGAATCATTATTCCTTTACCGAATATATTTATCGTCTTAAATAAAAGGCTAAATGCTTTGATGATAAAAGATGGCGAATCCTAAGTGCCTTAAAACATTAATTTTCAAGTATTTTTCATAAACGTGTATAAACATCCATGCAAGATGCAAGTCATTAAGGCTTAACTGTTTTGGAATTGTATACTTAGGTCAAGATGTTACATCAGTTTGAACTTTTCGTAGTTGAAAGTACGTGTTTGCGTTTGTTATAGCAGTTATCCGCTGTGTCTATCGAGGGGAATCGAACCCCTGATTTTAGCGTTGTAAATCAGAAGACTTACCACTGTCCCACCGGGGGACACTTGAAGCAAAAAGAAATCCTTCTTATCTTTTTTTTTTTTTTTTTTTACAAAAGGTAGGCAAAGCATACAAGTTAAAATATTTCAAAATACAGATTGTAAGAAGCAGCCGCACTAGCTGAAAAATATTTATTTTAATAACACATTAAAAAAAAATTTACGAAACACATTTCCTCATATCAGTTGTTATTAAAGCACTGTTAATGAAAGGTTTCTCTTGTTTCGCAGTTCAGCCCGTTCGTTCTTCAACATGGATCTGATTACACGATAATATTTCAGAAACTAAACCCCATTCATTATGGATGAAAAAAATATTAATATCATACTTCATTTACTCTTCCAGATAAGCTGCTCTGAAATATTAAAAAAAATGATTAAATAAGCTGTTTTTGAGTTGCTAATTTACAATAAAAGCAAGCGAAAGTATTGTGAAATTAGGGATGGAAGTGCACGTGAAAAATGCGAAGAGTACTAAAATAAATTGAAGTGATTTAGACCATTTAGGTACGTCACATTTTACTTATATTTCATTGTGTTTCTCTTTAAAACTGCCAGACAAAAGCAGCTGTTTCTGATGAACGTTGCGGGCCGTGTTCCTTGGAGTTAGCCATATAAAACTCACGATCTGATTGTTTTGTATGCTTACTGTTACTGCTACCTCAATTTAGCACAGTAGAATAATCGTTTCAAAGACTAAAAATCGATTACGCTCTGGTTAGAGAGAGAGAAAAAAAAGAACACAACAACAAATAAATGAAAGTAAACGTGTACACGTAACGTAGATTGCAACTGATTGCTATTTTTGAATGTAAGTCTGCCATAAGCGTTCTACACCAATTGATTTTTGTGTACGTATAAACCTTACCTGTTTCAAATATGAATTTCAAACAGCCTCACAGGGGTGAGTCAGAATAGAAATAAAATTTTCATATTCATAACTTGCAGAAAACCTTCAATTTCACAGCAGTACTATTATTAATACATTGCATATAGAAGTTGAAACGAGTATTTTTTTTTTCCAACTAAGTTTACCGTAAACATGTAGATTATAAGGAGAAACAAGCACGAGTACTGGGAAAATGGTTATGTAAGAAACATTTGAGTTTAACAGCTGAAACCAAAATGTAAATAGTTAAAACCAAAAGTGCAGCTTTAAGGTCTGCCTGACTGTTCAAGAGCCTTTTAAGTTATCTTAAACGAGTTGAATTTTGCATTAATCACGCTACTCATTTTTCAGAATTCATTATTGATTTTAATTTTGAGTCAGTGCTCTGGCCGGGCGTGTTCGAATAGTTGTTATACCAGATGTGAATATAAGGGTCTATGGTTCGCGTCCCGTTACCACGAAAACCTAGCCTCGCACTTTGGATCCGGGGGTGTGTTATAAGAGTGAATCCAATCTATTTTATTCGAGTATTCAGAAAGTTATGGTAGGTGCTTTTGACTAACTGCTTTCGTTTTAATTTATCGGGTCAAAATTATGAACAGCAAATAGTCCTTTTCTGACTAAGTCACACATGCGCAGTCTGTAAATTTTATTCTGTTTTGAGAGTTGGTTTAGCGAGAAATATTTAAAGAGTTGTAGAAAATATTGGAGATATATTTTTTACGATAAAAAATATCATAAGAACGATAGCAGAACTTTACAACAAATGATTGAATTGAATCTCAAAAACTAACCTCTTTCCGGGAAGTTGAAATATATAGGTTCTGCTAAGTTATTAGTTCAGTGATTTTGTTCTAACTAAACCGAAAACTAACGAGTTGTGTGTGTTGAGTTTTGAAAGTGTGTGTTTGTTTTTTTTTAACTTTTATGGATGTTATTACACCATACTCTGGACAAACACACACACACAAGAGAAAATGTAACCAGCTCACCTGTAACTACGAGCCTTCCAGAGGATGAGCTTGTCTGGGTTTCTCCTGTTAGGCGATGTTGCACTTGACAACGAAACGTCTTGCGAACGTCTGAAGCAGTTACTCTTCGAATATGAAACTCTCCGCTTGGAAAGACACTAAACCTACCTGAAAGAAACGACGAAATATAGCATAATTACTTAAATATACGCACAAACGTATCTGCTATTAAAAAACACTCTGACTAAGCGTTAGCTCATTAAAAGTGTACCAAAATACTCATTTATTCTATATGCGTCAAAAGTGCAACAAGAGACTTTGAACAACTCGCGTTGCAATCAATGTGTTTACCTAAAGGATTTCACTTGCCCGGAAAACGTATGTTTTTCGTTCACTTAACGAGCTCTAATGTATCTGATCGCTTTCAGCCTCGTTGTTCTACCATTACATTACGTTCAATATGTTGACCGTCATAAACTAACTTTCTTCCGCCGTGAGATATATCTATTCCATTATCCTTTCTTTTCTTTCTTTCTTTTTTGATTTGAAAGATTAATCTAATAAATCATAAAATATACGTTTCGGCTGAAGTGCTTCCTCTTTCTTTCCTACGGTTTATTTTAACCTTTGGTTCTGAAAACAAAAATTACGTCTCTGAACTGAAATAGAGAAACCACAAATGGAGAGAAGGATCGTTTCGGAATATTCTTATTTAATCGTCAGCGAAGTCCGGAAGCGATATATTGATATATATATATACATATGTATATATACGTACAAACAGAGTATAAATCTACTCTCTGTGATTCAGCGGTTAGTTTACGGGTTTACACTACTAAAATCCGGAGTTTGATTCCCCGCGGTGTACAGAGCGTAGATAACCCGTTGTGTAGCTTAGCACTGAGAAAACAACAGCAACAACATGAATCTTAGAAAACATTAAGGAGTAGTGTACATTAGGACTAATACATATAAAGCATAAAGTAAACTCAAAATTAATAAACAATACGGATACCATCTTTAACCATAAACAATATTAACTTAAAAATAAATACTAAGAAATCGGTCAAAAGTTAGGGTACTGGGGTTCCACTTTCGGACCAGCCTCAGCTATTATTTTTCTTTGTCCCCAAGAATACATATGGTCAGACAACTGGTCGTCCAATTTCGAACCAGCGTCACACAGGCGGCACAAAGTTGACACGTGTTTATCGTTTTGTTCTGCTAACCATCTTCAAAAATGTAAATATCCAGCACCAATGAATTCACTTCAGGACTTGAAGAAATATTTAGCGCCCCAAGAATAGATTCATTTCAGAACTTGAAGAAATATTTAGCGCCCCAAGAATAGATTCATTTCAGAACTTGAAGAAATATTTAGCGCCCCAAGAATAGATTCACTTCAGAACTTGAAGAAGTATTTAGCGCCCCAAAAATAGATTCACTTCAGAACTTGAAGAAATATTTAGCGCCCCAAGAATAGATTCATTTCAGAACTTGAAGAAATATTTAGCGCCCCAAGAATAGATTCATTTCAGAACTTGAAGAAATATTTAGCGCCCCAAGAATAAATTTATTTTAGAACGTGAAGAAAATAAATCGATACTTTCAAATTCGATGACGAGGAACCCACTTTGAGACTAATAATGGCTGGAGACGGCATGAATGGGTAATGAAGAAAAACTTTAATATAAGTTTAACATAACAGCAAATGTAAAACGTTTCGACAAGGTTTTGTCATCATCAGGTATACACTATCCTTTAGACCTGTTGAACCAAGAGACCCAAATACAATTATTAAAGAAAACTACACTCAACTTGACGAACTTAATACAGTTCACACCGTAACTGTTGTCTAATATAAATAGCGTTTAGCCAATATATGTCTGTCACATCCTAGTCTGCTTGAAGAGTCTTTGTATTACCCGAAAGGTCTCATAGATATTGGATGTATAGAGCAGATGTAGTGTAGTTGACATATTATTATATACTTTTCTTTACTTTTACTCGCCACACTTTCACGGCTATTATAGCAATTATTAATGAACCCATTCCAAAGGAGCTAAATAACTTTACCACCCCATTAAATAATTCTACTACCCCATTACCCTTCACAGTTATGGTGGCAAAGTTATGTCCAAGCCAAAATCTCCAGGTCGCCTCCAAACACACTGTGAGCAAACAAGAACAGCATGGTCCAGAACGCCTTAATTAGGGTTTTCTAATGTTTCATATTTTCAACGCTTTGGGATAAATGAAATCCAACTCTTTGTTTAGCTGCAGGAGTAAATTTGGTGTTCCCGTAATTATAATAGTTTGTTTTGAATTTCACGCAAAGCTAGACGAGGGCTATCTTCCACTAAAGATACTACATTAATCATTTTATATATATTCCACTGACGATACTACATTAATCATTTTACATATCCCGTTGAAGTGGAAATATATGATATTGATATACCTGGTACACTTTTTTTTTAATAAATATTTTGCTTATAGCACGCTTGTTTCAATCTTACATGATACACTTACCACGCTACCCTCGATTACGGTTTTAGTAGCTAACTTGCTTGTGTAACCTCCTGTATTTCTGATACTGAGTTCCAATTTTAAATGCCATTTTTGCCAGAATGAAAGCTATATCATAGTACTGAGTAATGAGAATCAATTGAAATTAATAATGTATATTTACCTATTCAGATGTAATTTACGTGTGATGTTAAAAATGTAAAATTTGCAGTAACGGATGATGACTGACAAATTTCAAGGGTAAAAATTTACTCGTAATTTTAGCAATCCATATTTGACAACCTTTATTTTGTTACGATTTTCTTGTTTCCTTAGTTTGTTAGGGTTAGCTTGTTTTCTGCAACTATTTGTAGAGAGTGAGTGGCATTTCAGATCTGGTAGACTATGGGGCGGAGTACCTACATCTGTTCCTAATTTTAACTTTCTCTGTAATGCGAGACATTCTGCTAGTTGTTAAATTGGGTTGACGCTCTATATCCACCACCTCTCCCTCTTCCTTCAGGACACATTTTACTGCCCCCACTCTATAGCTTATTCCATGTTTTTTTTTCTCCCTCCTCAAATGTGTGAAGCTACTTGTTATAGGCTTTATTGGTAGACTTGTAAATAAGGACGTGCAGTAACATCAACCTCTGTTTTCTTCAGATGTTTGAGTTATCGTATTTGTTTTGTTGTTTGTAAAATATACGTGACTTGCTGTGATAGCTTACATATCTAGTTAATTTACTGAGTTAAAATGACATGCTACTCCAGTTTAGTTACTTACTTAATTATTGAGTTAAAGTAGCGTGCTACGTTAGATTGAATATTTTCAACGAGAAGGATTCTCGTTTTCTATTTAACGTGTTTCTTTTTATTTGTATCCCTGTCTGTTTACTAAGAGTATACGCACTTTTTCGTATAACATTTCACGAAGTATTTTTCTAATTGTCTACATCAAGCTTTTTGCATTGCTAGTGCTCTATAAAAATGATTAATGTAGTATCATCAGTGGAATATATATAAAAATGATTAATGTAGTATCATCAGTGGAATATATATAAAAATGATTAATGTAGTATCGTCAGTGAAATATATATAAAATGATTAATGTAGTATCGTCAGTGGAATATATATATAATGGTTAATGTAGTATCGTCAGTGGAATATATATAAAATGATTAATGTAGTATCGTCAGTGGAATATATATATAAAATGATTAATGTAGTATCGTCAGTAGAATATATATAAAATGATTAATGTAGTATCGTCAGTGGAATATATATAAAATGATTAATGTAGTATCGTCAGTAGAATATATATAAAATTATTAATGTAGTATCGTCAGTGGAATATATATATATAATGATTAATGTAGTATCGTCAGTGGAATATATAATTCTTTACGATTAATAACACACCGTATATCCCGTTGAAGTGGAAAAATTATAATTATGGAACTATAACTGTTATTCTTTACGATTAATAACACACCGAAACAGTTATAATTCCATAATTATAATATTTCCACTTCAACGGGATATACGGTGTGTTATTAATCGTAAAGCATAACAGTTATAATTCCATACTTATAATATTTCCACTCCAACGGAATATACGGTGTGTTATTAATCGTAAAGAATAACAGTTATAATTCCATAATATTAATGGATACAGCAACGATAAACATCATAATTTATTAATACATTCTTTTACGAAGTCAACCTGTGACGTATTATACCAAAGATATTTAAATTAGCTTTGGTATTAATAACAACGTTGCTTAGCAATATCAAGTATAATACAAATAATAATCTGACAGCGCAGATAATGTAGTTTATTCTCTTGAGTATTCTAATTTCCAGACATAAACCGTATCAGTAAAAAAAAATACTAAGTGTCATGTTTGTTTCAAGTCAGACCTAAGGAAAAAAAATAGACGACCCTATTTAATTTGGAAGATACATGAACGTTACGGAGAGTTAAGGCTAGCACCACGAAAAGTGTTTTAGAAGTTTATGTCATATTACAGTCGTTAAATCATTGACGAATGATTGGTTGTACAGAAAAGAATATGAAGTTATACAACAATTCTGTCCTCCTGGTGTAGTCTTACGAGACATTTTTGTCTGTAGAAACAATTGTGAGAAAGAGTGGAAATTAACCATAACCAGGGAAGTGAGAAAAATATTAGATTAGGTATCTTAATAATTCACTACATTGTAGCGAATTAGATATCTTAATATTTCACTACATTGTAGCGAATTAGGTATCTTCATATTTCACTACATTGTAGCGAATTAGGTATCTTAATAATTCACT